GTTTTTCTGCCAGCTTCAGATCACCATCAGCCAGCATGGCTATGTCTTTGACTGTGTTCTTTACATCCTTGTCCAATACAGCAGTGACGATGGCCGGTTGCTGTTCCACATAATGTTTTAGCGTGTCATGTATGGTATTCCGATGTGTTGTGAGATCATGGATTTATTTGTGCTTTGGTATATCTAGCATCTCTTGCTTGACTGTCAACACTTGGTGAGCAGTGGCGCTTTTGTGAAAAAAGTCACTACTTCTTGTCCCAGGAGTTTGGACATTGCCTTGAGAGAGACCGCCCTTTTGGCTGTGAGGTTCAGGATGTGTGCAAAACATCCAATGTGGGGCCCAAACCCATCAGCTTTACAGATGATATAGACAATGTTTTGTGCATTATGAATCTATAGTGACTGGGATTGTGATATTTGGGCCTGATCCCATTTCACCCCATTGCCCCTACCACTTAGCCCTACCCCTCTGTTTTGAGACAGAGGGGTAGGCTGAAGTGTTAGGGCTACATGGCCCTCCAAACAGAGGTCTTGCAGAGGAACACTCCAAACAGAGTGTTATGAGAAAAAAAGAAAAACCGGCAAGATGGCTATACAAGAGACCAAAGAAGTAGTATTTAAAAAATAGGATAACCATTATATTTGATGGTGTCGTTTTAGTGTGTTATGGTCCTTTTCTTTATAACAAGCATAAAAAATCACAGATAGCCTCGGTAGTTAGCTAGCTAAATTTCCCATTCCACCTTAAATAGTCCAACAGTAGTGAGGCTTGAAGTGCCAAATTGTTAACTGCTGCTCCATTTAAGGTGGAGAGGGAAAATTTGAATGAGAAGCTGGGGAATAGCTGATTTTAGCATCATATCACTGACGAATTAGGGGTGGGCGATAATGAATCATGAGGGTTGTTCTATTTCATAGGGAAAATTTCAACCACTGTCCCTTGTAACTCAGTTCTAAGGGGCAAGGTGACACTTGAAAACAAGAGGTAGGGGTAAAAATCATAAATGGGAGGTCCAACTATCTATTTATTTTCAAATTCTCTCCATGATGTTTCATGGAGTTCAGGAATTACTGTGCTGCTGAAATATGAGCTGGAGGGGACACTGTATAGCGGTTCAGTTTTTTTCCATCAGATGACGAAACCCCCAATTCAGTAACCACCAAATGTGGCTGCAAATATTTGGCTATGAATACTCACACTGCTTTTGTTATCTCTTTACGTTTTTCTGAATTTGTCGCAAATTGTTTTTGGAAGGCAGCCACAACAGATTGTTGTGTTCCCATATGAAAAACATACATAGACATCTATTTTTTGTGCATTACAAATATATTGCAATCTATGCCCAAACACAGTCCAAACACTAAAACCAATTTCAGAATATATTGCCATATATATATATATATGGCAATGTGTAATATGTGTAATATATACCCATATATATGGGTAATATATACCCATATATATATATATATATATATATATATATATATATATATATATATATATATATATATATATATATATATATGGGTATATATTACACATAGAAATGTACCATACAAAAATAAATGTATGTAAATGTGAAATATCAAATGCGTTTCAAAACTATATGAAAATAGCCAAAATACTGTCTAATGCTTGGAAAACCTTTTTTAAAACAAATTTGTATTCCAGCCTCTTAATTTTAAATATTAGTAAGTGAACCTTTAATATGGCAAAAGCAAGTGTTGCAGGTATTGATTTACTGTGAAAATGCAATTATGATTTGATATCCTGTATATTTGAAATACATTTTATGAGTGTGTCTTAATGCATACATACATGGTTAATGCAAAGGACAAAGCAAAACACAAGTCAGTACCATTAATTCAGTTATTGTATATTTAGAGAGATATTTATGAGTGCTGAAAGCCTCCAGGGACGTTTTGATAGACTCCAGAGATGTTCTGTGAATCTGAATGTACAATGTGCATGTAATCTACAGTGCAATAAGCACATTTTGGAAATTATAGGAAATTGACAGGCATATGTGTGTATCGAACCATAGTAGGCATACTAAATGGTTTGACAACCTACCATGTACCGTTGCCTCCCTAGTAAATAGCATGAGACAGGTAATTGTCGCCGAAAGACAAAGCTGACGGACAGCGACCGCCGGCATGTTTCACAACTTGTGAATAAAAATAGCTTTGCTGTCAGGCAAGAATTGCTTTTAGAAGTCAACGCAGGTCCTTCACAACCAATTTCTAGAAGAACGCTCCTCAGGGAACTGCATACCATGCACGTACGGAGCAGAGTGGCATAAAACAGGCCTTTGCTCACTTCTGCTCACAAAGTTGCCTGGTTATAGTGGGCAAAGAGACACAAAAATATGCTGCAAATGTGAGTGATTGGCATGATGAACATTCAGGAGAGTTCACACATCTGGACTGGCCCGCAAAATCCCCAGATTTGAATCCTCTTGAAAATCTGTGGGACCACTTGGAACAATGAGTGAGACGCCAGGGAAGGCATCCACAAAATCTGGCTGAACTGTGCGATTCTTTGTTGTAAGAGTGGCTGAATACTGATGTCGCCTACATCCAGAAACTTGTCCAGTCCAGGCCAAGGCGAATCACAGCTGTTATTCGTTCTCATGGAGGTATCATACGCTATTAGGTACGTTTCAGTCACAGGTGACCAATTTTTTGTCCGGTAAGCTTCTTATACAATACAAAGCTGGGGACATTGTGGAGGAATCTGGAACCAACCATGTTTTTTTCTAACCAGCTCATAAGGTCTCAACTACTTTTATGAAAAGAAAAAAAACAGCCATAACTGGAGTCAGCGGAGTTCTGTCCCAAATGTGATGTGTCAATTGCTCAATTTGTTATTTTGATTTTGGTGCATCTGTATTTTGCGCAGTATTTGAATGCTGCTTTTGCTTTATGTTGTTTAAGTAGGCAACTCATTTTTTGTTTATGAATTGCCAGTTTAGCCTGTTAAAGAGCTAATAATGTTATTTCTGTTACAGCTTTGGCTGATAGAAAGAAGTGGTACTACTGTGTTCACAGTGTCAACTTGAGGTATTCGTAAACATATAAAAAACAAATAAATAAATAACTATTGTCCATTGGCCAATTTGGCTGGAAAGAAATAGGTGCACCTCTATTAATTACATATATAATTAGATAGTTAAGTAAAGATTTACACTGAGTTTACATTCTGTATCAACAGGTTTAAGTTAAATTTTTGCAGTTTGTTTCAAGATAAAGGAATAAAAAAGCACTGTAATAGATGTGTTTACCTTCAGCAAAACACACAACTTTTCATCTAATTCCAGTCACTTGCTTCCAAACATAAACATGGCTTTGACTGAAATCTGCATTTTATGCTGAATCTTAAGCTTGTTTCAACTGAAAAATAATTTGTATCAGATGCGCCATGCTTAGGCTATCGTCATGATAACTGTGTGACTTCGGCCAGACTTTGGGAAAAAAAAAGGTTTGTTTAGTGTCCTAGGATGTGGAGACACTAGAGTTGGAGGGATGGAGAGAGAGCAAGTACACCAGAATGTATTAATATAAAAGTAAGACATAAGAAGGCTGAATTGTGGTATAGAGTCAGGGAGGAGGGACTATAAAGGGGAGCAGGAGAGAGAGAGACTCCTCTAAAGACAGCTACAAAACCTTGTATCTCAATTTTTAACATTTTTTTTTACTTTTTTTGCAGAATGTGTTAAAATTTTGTGATGAACAGACCAATAGAAATGGTTCTGAATTACTTGTGGGGGGAGGGATGTTTGACTTCCATTACAGTTTGCTGATGGTGCTGCTCAGAGTTTAGATTTAAACCCTATATTAAAGACCTAGAAAGAGAGGCCATTCATTACTGCGATTTTATCACGGGAAGGGTGTTCTTAAATGGCTTCCTGCTCCCTACATAGTGTACTACATAGGAGTGTAAATACTGTAGAGGCTAGAATTTCTAAACTTTCATAGCTAGTGCACTATTTAGGGAGTATAGAGCCGTTTGGGTTTCAGCCTGTGTTTGACGCTACTTCTGACTGAAACACAAACGTCTGAAGCGTGTGATCCATCCAAGTGACATGTTTATTCTGCCGTTTTACAGTGAATAATACTGTAAGTATTGTACTGTAAGTACTTTAATTCAAGTCTGTGATATTAGTGATGGAGCTGTTTAGGCTGTTAGCATCTTTTAGCCTGTTAGCTAGCTGACCAGCCTAGTTCTAGTTAAGAACATAAGTTGTCAGCCCCTCAGTTTAAACAAAAAAACAGGTTCTTATTTGAGAGACAAAGATTACTCCGTTTACAGCACAAGGATTTTTCGTGCCGTGGCGCAATCATACAGTTCAGTTGTTGTGAGACGGTCATAGGTGTGCATATATTGTCGATTTTACAACGGCTTCGAACACGGCTCAGCCAATCAGATTTTAGGACCGGAACTATCCATTTTATATATAGTATAATCATGCTGGTTGACCAGCTAAACTAGCACCAGGGCTAAATGCAGACAGAGGACATTTTCAAAAATATTTGCATACGTGTGGACAGGACCCAGGACTTTTGCGCAGTGCTGTAGCTGTTTCATAAAACATTTGCAAATATTTTTTCTTACTTCTTTGAGAAGTATCAAGAAACACTTTGACCTTGTAACTGCTGGTTGGATTATTTATTACCGCCCAAATCATGACATCGAAAATGTTGATGTACATTTGAAACCTAGCACTGATTCTATTATAAGTTATTCCAATAATCTCACTTACAATTTACAGCACTGGACACAGCTAGTGCTGCAATGCTGTTACAATAAAATTAGCCACACATGAGTCAATGTTTTACATTGTACATACAAATAAAATTTGTTTTTGGGCCTTCAAAAGACATTCGAAAAGAAAGCGTATTCGAAAGACAGAGAGCAATATTGTTTTTACCTTCAGAGTCCAAAATCTTTCTTCATCTTCATTGCCTTCAAGTACAGTATAAATAATATTGTGTGTCATAAGCGTCTCCTCATAGCAGCCAAAGTCCTCTGCTTCTAAGAGCACTCCATAAACCACGTCAGCACACAATGTACCTTTCACTTGCGCACACCACTGACATGCCCCTTACACAAATACACACGCTTGTGCATTATCAGAGTCTGTGGAGCACTTGAGGTCATTAAGTGCCATTAAGAATCAAGGCCGAAGAAAGCCTCTTCAACACTGGATGAGCCATACAGACTTCCTTACAGTCCAGTAGGCTCCAAAGCTGGTCCCAGATCAGTCCATAGACATCCAATAGGCCATTATATTCTGCCATGCTTCACACTTGTCCACACAGATCCCGGTACAGCCTTTAAACAGGGATAAGTCCAGAATGTATCCTGCAGCATCTTTTATCAACATGAATGAGTGTAGGGTTCAGACTATGAGTGGCTCTTGTGGTTCTTCTGGTTCTTCAGAGAGAGAGAGAGAGAGAGAGAGAGAGAGAGAGAGAGATATTAAACATGACTGTGTAACTGGTTGAACTTGTTTGCTTATGTTCCACGTGGCCCTGGCTTAGAGTTCAAAGCCATAAAGTGTTTTTTACTTTTCCATATCTGAGTGACGTCAGCCTTTTGTTCTGTCCCTTTTGTGTTTCAATATCATTACTTCTGGACTATGGTGTTTATAATATGTGAAGATTTGTCATTCCTCTTTTTGATTTGTACTATTGTGAAGCGCTTTGACTCTTTTCACAGATGTGTTAATAAAATAATGAGTTACTTAACTCCACATCTAATTCAGCTATGCAGAAATTATGTGTTAGTTACAAAGGGGTGGACAATATAAAAAATATAATATCACAATCTTTTAAGACGTTTTCACAATGCACAATATGTCTTGGTGTCTGGCATCTGATAAGTTGCCATCTATAAAGAACCAGTAGTGCCACTTTCAATAAATACTGATATAATGAGAACAAATGACTTTTATTCAGTGTTTCACAAACAGCGCCAGGTTAAATCCAGTTAAACTGCACTAATTATGCTCTCTTTTTAAAGAAACGTAGTCCTTAAAATACCGACAATATGCACAATATTTTCAGATATTGTGATGTACTACGACTTAACGATAAATATCATAGTGCCCAGGCCAAATACACAAATCAGACCTATAGTATTTATATGCGATTACACCTCATGAAGTTGTGCTGCTGTTTTAATAAAATCAGTCATTAATATTGATGCTCCTAATTTTAAATCGTTATTCCAATACTAAATTTAGTGTACAATGGACACAGATTCTGCTATTAAAATGCAACTACTCCAACAATAAAACACAAGTTATATTGATTATAACTAATGGAGCTGCTTTGTTGTTGATATTAATGCCACTTTAATCTCTAGTTATTCCAATGCTAAATGTTGCCACCAAAAGGCACAGAAAGCACCACATGTGTAAATGTAATATAGTCTACTCCAACAGTGGAACAAATACAATTGTATGCAAAAGTTTGAACACTCTTGGTCAGATTACGTGTTTGGCTCTTTTTCTAAGTGAAAATAAGGCCCAATCCCATTTCACCCATCGCCCCTACCACTTAGCCCTTAGCCCTCCGTTTTGCGTGTTCATGTCTAGGGGTACAGTGTCCCGATTTTTGTTGAGATAGAGGGGTAGGGTGAAGTGTTAGGGCTACATGGTGCAAGGTCACACTTGAAAACAAGGGGTAAGGGTGAAAAAAAGAAATGGGATTGGGCCTAAATTAACACACTTAAAGCCACACCTTGTAAGCTTCCACCTCTCTGGTGGAAATGTGTAATTGCACACAATATGCAGAAGAACATTTTGTAATGTGGGTTGTGTATTGTGGTGACAGACGTGTCTTCTGAAGATTTGAGCGAATTATCTACTGTCATCATATCTTCATCAGTATAATGTTGATTACGCATTGGAGACCTAAACCTCGAGCCGGACCTTTATTTTTAATCTGTGTGAATTAACATGTTAATATGTAAAGACGTATGATTTAGTTTTTCCTCCTGATTCAGTAATGCTACTTCTTTCAATTTTAACAAGAATGCTGCTTTAAAAACATTTTTTTGTTAATTTTAAAGTTTAACATATTAGAAAAAATAAAACATACAAGATAAAATGTTCCATAACCTCTGCACAGGCCACATTTCAAGTGTGCTTTGTTTTGCATAAAAATGTATGCTGTATGTTTTACGTGTATTATTTTTATGTTTTATGTTTATTATACTTCAGCAGAACACGGAATAGAAAAGAAGACCCTATGCTTTTGTCTCGTTCATTTTCTTATCAAATGTTTGCGTTCACAGTCCATATAAAACAAATAGTGATCCCATAAAGCAATAATAAGGATTTGTGCTATTGAGATCGCTGATGCATCATGATACGATCAAACAAAGTGTAATACTCATCTTAGTGGTCTCAAAGTTCTCTAGTGTTGCTGAGGCAACTAGTTTTGACATAAAATGTATCTAGTCTAAAAAAAACTTGAATTAAAGAGACATAATTGAACCAAAATGAAATACAGTTGCTACATCTTATGTAAATATGCTACTCACATCCTACAGTGGTGCCACTGTAGTCTCTAGAGTGAGACTTTCCAGTTTAAAGACATAAAATCCTTCTGATGTATCTTGAAGGTGGGAGGAGCTTCTGAAACACTAAGATTGCTTTGAGGTGGGTTTTGGAGTAAAGGGGTTTAAAATGTTTTTGTTTTTTTTTAGCTGGTGAGTGCAGAAGGATGACAGATAGCTAATCTTAGTGCTATTAGGTCATCTTGTTGTAGCCTTATAACTAAAGTAACTGTCTTCAAATCATCAACAAAGAGAACAGATTCCTCAAATGACAGAAATCAATCATCAGATGAAGAGGACAACAAGCTAAAAGCTAAAGTTTGCAGCTACCTGGCCATCTAGATACCTCAGTTTGGCTTCTTTTTTCTGACTTAATGAGTAAAAATATTGGCTCTGGCATCCATTGTGTTATGAATAAAGATATAATAGACATTTCCTTAATTTTGAAGGACGTCTGAGGAAAGAGTTACTCTAATGATGGCTTGGTTGTATTTCTTATAGGGCTATCATACAAATAAAAATAAGGAATTGTGATTAATTGCATTTGTTTAATTTTTTTCCAATTAAAAGCAGTAAATTTTGTTATAGCTATATGAGTGCACAAAGTAAGCATAATCAGACAATATCTACAACTACTACTTTCAAGAATGTAATAATCGGACTAACTTGAACATAAAAATCATGTGACTTCCATAGAATAAACAGTTTCCAGTTTTCGTCAGAAGCTTCATGTTTCAGCTTCTGCTGTTGTAGCCCTCTTTCTACATTACGTCATGTTTCAAGGAGAACTGGGGTTTTCGGTGTTAATTTGTGTTTGTTAGTTTGCCTTATCAACAGATCTACCTCAAACACTGTCCAGCATAGTCTGCCAAAGGCATCCTCCATTGCCAACATTACTGATATTACCAGTTTTGCCAGCATCAGCACTATCTGTTATGAAGGCCTGGACATTTCTCTAGTTTCCACCTTTTCACATGTAATTATTTGTGCCATTTTATAGGACAATGTGGTTATTCAGCCAGTAAGAGAAATCTGTTAACCCTTAGATGGCCATGGCCTGCTGGCAGGCCCACCCAAAGTTTCATTGCATACTTCTATAACCTAGGAACAGCTCAACCAGTTTGCATTGAGTCCTTGTAGTTACTGAATAATAAGGCTTAGTGCGTAATAAGCCTGGTATTTTCAGGGGTTAATTTGGACTGGTGGCAGTTTGGTTTCACTAGCTGTGTTCAGCTTTAGCAAGCTTCATTTGGCTCATGTGCATATCTTTCATCTGAGGTGGTTGTGTGTTGGATCCTTCATGCATGTGTTCGTCCAGTGATCATAAAGTACTGTTTCTATACTTGGTTAAATGGATCACAGGCCAGTGTATTATGTTAAAGCAGCACTATGAAAGAGTTCGGAGGATTTGTTGAAAGTTGAAAGAGGCAGCATTACTGTGCCTGAAAGAAACATGGTAATATATGATGTCTGTGCCCTGTAAAGCCTGAAAATTATCAGTTCGTGCCACGCCACACATCTTTATGTAGTAGTGTCATGCACAGGCTCAAAAACAATGTCTGGCTTAATGTTTAACTCTCAAATGTAAACATCATATGTCTGATGTCAACATACTGATGAAATATGATGACAATAATAGATAATTCACTTACATCCTCTGAAGACATGACCAGCTGAAGACAACACAAGCTTTCTGAATACTCTTTTAACACGCTCGCAATCATCAGATTCATCCAAACAGGGAAGGGGTCTGAAGCACAATCTACATTATAATGTTTTTCCACTGGTTGCATGCAAAGATGCATTTCTGCCAGAGAGGTCCCCAAATCCCCAACTATTACAATGCAGCTTTAGTGTGTTTGGAACCAACAAGTGCTAGTAAGCTGTTATTTTGAGTAAATAGCTATTAAATAACATGTGAGTTGAGCAGTAAAAGGCTTGTTGCTTATGAGCCTTGAAACACAGCATGCATGGCACACACACTGAGTTTAACAATGCCACATGTACTAGCAGTCTGTTAGTGTTTAAACATTTAATGTCACATGTCTGACATACAGGATACATGTGCATATTTTGTCATATTTTCACCCTTAATGTAAACACAGCTGTGTTCTTAATTTCCTTTGTAGAACCACACATCCAAACATGAACACAGAGCTGAAAAAAAGGAACTGTGTAATACTCCTAATAAGTGAGTGGAGGGTGTTCATTGACCCTTTGTGCATTCTAGCCAGATGTCCCACAGTGATCAAAAGTTTGGGCACCCAAGGCCAAATTACATATTTTGTTCATTTTCAAGTGAAAAGAAGTAAACACAACTGCTACAGCAAACTACTTAAAATATAATTTTCTGCACATATTAAAGCACATTCGCTTTAAACATGATCAACATAAAAAAAACAAATAAAAATAGTAATTCTTACTATTACTAGAACTAGAACTTAGTAACAACTCTTTTGGCAGATATCACAGCTTGAAAACACGTTTTGTATCGCGCTAGGAATCTTTCTGTTCTTGCTTTAGGAATTTTCACCCACACTTTCTTGGGGAAAGCTGCTAATTTTGTGATATTCTTGGGCCGTGTTGCATGCGCAGCATGTTTCAGATCTATCCACCATTTTTTAATGATGCTAAAGTCCAAGGACTGTAAGGGCCATTCCAAAAGCTTCAGCTCGTGCTTCTTGAAGTAGTTCATGGTTGATTTTAAGGTATGTTTTGGATCATTGTCCTGTTGTTTACAATACTACGGAAGTCAGCCTCTTTTTAGCGTCAGTTGCTTGACTTTGATTTGCCAGAATTTGCAGGTATTTAGTAGAATATTCTTCTGTCTACCCATGCATTGCCACTGGCTGCAACACAATTTCTAAAACATAATAGATCGACCCCCATGTTTAACAGGTGGCAAAGTGTTCTTTTCCTCAAATGCTGCTCTTTTTTGGCCAGAAAATTCCCGTTTTACTTCATCAATCCACAGGATTTGTTTCCAAAATGCCTCTGGCTTATCTAAGTGTTGTTTTGCATACTTCAGATGTTAAAAAGATAAAAGATTACTTTTTGAGTTAGTGTGCTGCTGAGAATGTGTTTAATTTTTTGTCACTTTCTTGCAATTTCAAAGCTGTTTTTGAATGAGGGAGCTACATTTGGAGAATCGTAGCAACAAGATGCAAGTAGCTGGGCTTTAGGGTGGAACTACAAATGGTTCAATGGGTCAAACTAGGGAAATATGCTAACAGCATTACATTTAGTGGCATTAATATTGTATTGTTATTGCATTTTTAAGGTGTACAGTTGACTTTAGCTGTTTTCCATGCACAATCTGTGTTAGCCCTCCTTCATCCATTTATGTTAATCATACTTCTGACCACAGACTTGCTCTTGACTGGATATTTTTTGATCGTGGTCTTAGTAGTGACACTAACATGAGTAAAAACTACAGCAACACCGCTGTCTCCATTTACACTACCATGATCACTGCCAGTTGCTGAGAATGGTCCACCACAGTGGTCCTCCACCACTGTTTTTATTACAAGGATTTCATTATATTTAACACATTTTTTAGAGCATTATACTTTAATCATCATTTTATTAATGATTAAGATATTTTCTGTAATAATACAGTAAAGTACTGAGGTTGATGTTGAGCTGCACCACATAGCATTATGGTATATGCCAGTTAAAAAGGCATAAATATTTTTATATCTAAATTTACAATAAATTACTAGTTACTGAGTTGCATTACTTTTATAACTGTTATGTAAAAATACAGACAAATACTGTATTTTAATTACCGCTTATTACTTTAAGTGCACAGCAGAATACAACTACTTCACTGTTATCTTGTGGTCCAGGTGACAGGTTACAGTATACAGTTGCTATTTTATTGCTATTTTTTGTTAATAGGGTTCAGTAAATGACAGTGAAAGTAATGCAACTGGTAGCCAGTAATTTACTGTAATTTTACAGTAATCTTTTACAGTGTGGTCAACAGCAGCTCTGTGGTTAGAAGCTGAATTGACAGTTCACTGATGAATGAGAGTGGCAGAGAAACTGACTGCCTAGCAACAGGTGAGCTAACGTCTGTAATTTTACATGCATGTAGTGGAGCTATGAGGTAAGTGGGGCTCATAAAGTGGTCAATGAGTGGAAGTACAAGATAGGTGTTTCTAATAAAGTGGACATCTGTAAGAGTGTATAAGTGAGTGTATTTTGTTAGTACCTGTGGTAGATAAGCATCTCTCTTGTATCATGCCATGCAGAGTGAACAGACTGAAGACTAGTAGAGAAAAAAGAATGACGTAGTACTCCAGCTCAGTGAAGGGGGAAGCCATCTGCTGTGAGCACACACACAAAACACATTCTCTTAGTATTTCTGGCCTTTCTGGTATGTCTGGTATATTCACTATCCATGCTGTTCTGTTATCATTAGACCAAAAACACCTGTACAAAAAGTTTAACTTCACTTTTAATACTACCACAACATTTTGGTTTTATTCCTTGCATTTTTAACTTCAGTTATCAACTGTGAAAAGAAAACCATGGTGTACTTTACTATTAGCTGTTTCTCTTTCCAAGCCCTTAAAAAAGCAGAGAAATTATGTTGAAAGTGCATATTTTAAACTTTTAGTTGACACCACATTTGTGATTATATATAGAAAAAGAGATATAAAGAGATAATATCAGCGATGATTAGTATCAGCCAAAATCGGGATCAGACTACTTGTGCTCCAAACAAGCAGTCAACTAATTTATATTTTAGTATTGGCTGATCTGTATTGCAAATTTGTGATGCAAAGAATGTGAAGCAGGTAAGTGCACTTGCATTGTATTTGAATGCTGATGCTCCACCTATACCAAAATGTTGTAGCATAATTATGGATGATTTGTTGTGCTAAATAGCCAGTTTCCTCTTACTTTCAATGTAGCACTGTCAGATTTTGTGTTAGTTGAGTGGCCAACTGATTTTTCATTTGATGATTAAAAGTTTGGACTAGGAGCAAATGCTGTTATTTATGTTGTATGTACTGGCAATGTGCTAGAGTGTTTCATGACTTTTCATAGTCCAAAAAGTGTGAGTTCCAGGTATTTAAAAAAAGAAAAGTCTTACGAATAATGGCAATTTGGCTGTGAAGAAAAGTGGGATCAATTGCATATACATGGCATATCCTCATAGAAATTGAAAGGTGTAATGTTGAGAAAATTCTAATCTAACAGCCACAAATTATGTTACAAAGGACATCTCTCACGTTGCTCCCCCTCATAGACTCTCATACATACTAGCAACCATCTGTGATAACATAGCAGTGCCCTAGCAACACCCTAGCAGCCACTTGGGACACCACAGCGTGACCTAACAACACCTTAGCCACCACCTAGGATACCAAAACAATGGCCTAGCAATACCTCAGCAACCACCTGGAATACCATAGCAACACCCTGACAACACCTTAGCCACCACCCAGGATACCATAGCAATGGCCTCGCAATATCTCAGCAGCCACCTGGAATACCGTAGCAATGCCCTAGCAGCACCTTAGCCATCACCTGGGATACCGTAGCAACAGCCTGCCAACACCTTCATGACCATCTGATATTTTGTAGCAGTGGCTAAGCAACCACATTGGATAACATAACGAGACCTTAACAACTGACGTGATACCATAGCAATGGCCTAGCAACACCTTAGCAACCACTAGTGATTTCATAGCAACATCTATTTCTAGTCAACTTAAAGTTTATACAAAAACTTTTCTCTTCTAGTTAAATATGAAATTACATAGTTAAATTTGAACAGCACAGCAAAACCCAATTTCTGAGGGTTAAAATCGGTTATAATTCTGAAATAGCAATGAATCAACAAACATATCATATATTACACAAGATAATATATACATGTATGTATATATGTATATTGCACCAAACCATCAACATAACAAACAATGCTTGACCAAAATGGACTGAAACAGAGTTCTTACTGCCAGGACCAGAACGACTTCAGCAGGAATACACACTTTCAGGTGCTCATCGTGAGAGTGATATAAGAGTGTACCTGCCTGTGTCTCTACACTCTGTAATGTAATCTGAGGAGGGTTAGGGTGAACCCAGTGCCTGGCTCATATTGCCAGCTGAGTTAAGACAATGAACGCTCTGCCTTAGAGACCTGCAGTTTAAGCCACATGCACACAGGTATAACTGGACTGAATAATTATACAAACCCCAGGCTGGTGGGGAGTGTGTGTTATTATCACAGCGTGTGTCCATGTTTTGTGACTGGTATATCCACACCTGTGTGTGTACCTGCATGCATGTCTTCTGTCGCAGCTTGACATCTGTTGTCCGTGGTAACCGTGCTGCGGTCACATGATAGTTGATTATATTGGGCTACGCTTTATGTAAGTAAATTCCAAATTTGATGCCAAATGCTACAGATTCCAATAAAATTGGGACAGAAGCAAGCTTACTAGTGTATTACACCACTGTAAGTAACATGGGTTTTCAGCTTGTAGTCTACAAGTTATGTTATAATTTAAAACAACTGGTGAAAATGTATAGTTGTTTCTGTGATAGTAATTCAGTTTGAAAGGCTTGAGTATTTTCATTGGAACATTCCCTGAAAAAAGTAGATAGTAATGTATAGCAATAACTTGTAAAAAAAGTTGTTTAAAAGTTACATTTTAAAAAGTTAGCTACTGGGCTGTCTTAAAAAGTTTGAGTTAACAGAATAAGAATCTGTTTTATTGGATGTTACATAAGTGTTACGTATGACTATAAGATGTATGGAAAATACTATAGGAAGCCAAAAATATTAGAAATTCAATCATTTCTTATAGTTTTACTATAGTTTTTTTTGTAAGGCTATCATTGTTTACTATCTAGATATTTTGATTTGATAAGAATTTAAAATATAATTCTAACACATTCTGATAAATCATGTGATATAGTTTGTTTTTTTGTAAGATTCCTTTTACTTGGACACTGGTTGTTGCTATACTTAAGTAAGTTATACGGTTGTAGATGTTTGAAAATCAAGCCCATTATCAGCACCTGTTGCTGTGTTTTAAGCCCACTAACAAGAGTAAAATCTTTCTTTACCTGTCCAAAAGTGATTAAAGCTGCTGGCTGTCAGTTGAAGGGTTGCTGGTTCTGTCATGACAGAGCAGTGTGAGAAATGGTAGAAAAGAGTTTTAACGTTCATGCCTACACATAGTGCACTGCAAAGGTTTCACCATTCCCTGTTCCTCTTTCCTGGAGCCAGGGTTAAAAAGAAGAAGAACAAACTTCAACCCTTTCATGCATAAGTTAGTAGAAACTGTTTTCAAAATCATTTTTATTACTGAGATCTGCATTAAAAATCCTATGAATTTTCATTTTACATAAAATAACTTTTATTAAAAAGGACAAAGGAAGAACATACAATTAAAAAAAAAGTATTTTTAAGCATGTTTATATCATTTATTGTATCTGTCATTAAGTTTTAATTGTATTATAATATAGTAAAAGCTAATATTTAATACTAATATTTAAAAATAAATAATGAACTCTAAGCTTCTTTTTCTTGTTCAAAAAAATGCTGCTTTTTGACTTCAATAAAAGATGCAAAACATTTAAAAATGTGTGAGCGTTCCTGTCTGAACAGAGGAGACCTAGCTTTCAAGATAAATGGCAAACTATGTGTAAAATGCCTTTTTCTCCCTATCTTACAATAAAATAAGTGAACAAATCTACAAATTCATGCACAGAATCTAACCCCAGTCTGTCTTAGTAAGATATATCCCAGTCTGCCCTCTATGCCTTACAGATGCAAGACTTAGAAGGGAACATTGCTTCATGTTTTTTGTATTTGATTTAAAAAAATGATTTAACTTTTGGGAATCTGTACATGATTTTAAAATAAAAATAGTGACGATACCTCACGAAAAGATCCCAATGAAATATCTTTCTGGCACAGACATAAATCAGACATTAGATTCTATATCTACTACACAGTTGGGCCAGTCAGTGGCGGACTCAGGCTGTTTGAAGGGCAGGGGTGGAAAAAATAAGAAGAGCACCTACTGCGTGACATAAAATGCTATGATGTATCATGTATGATGAAATAGTCTTCATTCTTGATTAAGATTAACATGTTATTAAGCAATCCATATTACACAGGGAAATATACAGCTTTAAAATGTTCATTTCACAAACACCTCTGATATAAAACAGAGAGAATTATTAATATTCGTTTCAAAGATACGCACACATGGAGACACGATGTCAAGAAAGCTATTAATTTTGGAGCTTAGTAGTTAGGAGTAGTCACACTTAAATTAATTGAAAAAGCAATTCACAGCAAACTTTCTATTGGCTTTTTTGGCATATTACCCTGAAATAATTCCCTTTAGGGAATTAAAGGGAATGGCACCCATAGGAAACGTGAAGTTTAGACCATTGCAAGGGCAACTTATAGGGCACTGCATCATGTTTTCTCCACTAGAAATGCACTCATTAAGAAACATTATTGAATTTTCTTGCTCCAGACGGCACATCATCATAATTTATTGCCTGAAGGGGAACGCTGGAGGGCACTCAGTCATTTTTTTCCCCCCATGTAAAGGGCACTTCCTCTTCTTTTCACCACTTTAGAGGGCACTTTAGTGGTTTTTCAACCATGAGTGCACCAGGGGGTTGGTCGCCCACCTTGTACTCCTGCCTGAGTCCGCCAGTGGGCCCGGATACCCTGCACAGCTAAGAAATGCGTTTGGCTACACTGGAATAAGTAGTAGCCGTCCCCTCTTTATGTATGTGTTGCAAGTAGAACTTTACAAATCACAACATATAGCTTTAAAAAAAGTTTTTTTTCTTTTTCTTTTTTTTTGAATAAGTCATGCTGTGACTTATAATTGTCTACCTTTTCAATGTAAATGTAAGCTACCTGTGATCTAATACAGCGTTTTGTGGGGTTTAATATAGTCTACAGTACAGTAATATTGTCATTAGGTTGCTAACTATCTAGGCAAGCAATGTTTGCTAAAAGACTACCTATAGTGGACTATTCCAGAGGCCAAGTGAAATACGCCAGTCGCTGAATGTGTCAATAACTGAGTGGAAATAGACTGAATGAATTCTCCCTGGTTAGTTATGATATTGGCTGAGTAATGTATGTCAGTAAGTTAACTGAGTTAAACCCTTAAATGGCCAGGGCCCACCGGCAGGCCCAAAGTTTTATTACACACTTCGTTAACCTAAAAAATATCCAGAATGTCCATTTGTAAACTGTACATGGGCTTCAAATGACTTGAAAGTTCTGAATTACTACAGGCCCTTTAACACACCAGCTAGGAAAAACTGAAAGGAATAAGTAGCAATGTTAGCATATCCAGATCATTATTCCACTGTTTGTTTGGGAGTTACCTGGTCAGTTAGCAACACTCCAGTGAATTCTGTGACAAGACAGCACTTCTGCAGGGGTGGAAAAGCAAACGCGTATTGGCTATTTGGTGGTATCAGGGGGCACAACAAGGCCCAAACAACACTTGACCTGAACTAGTAATTCTTTGTTATGGCACCCAGTACTTTACTTCACTTCTCCAATCTATTCTCTATAATGCAACTCTGACTTTTTACCTGTCAGTTTTCTGTACATTCTTATTCAACACTGCCCCCTAGTGCACATTACGGGTAGATATTCTGGCAAACTCCTATACAGATATCTGAGCACAACATCTGCACGTGTGCAGTTACAGAAGTATAATTTAGCCTTGAATGAATGCTGTGCAAAGCACTATATGCAACAAACTTTATTTGTTAAAACATTTTACTTTTTATTTTTTTTATATAGTACCATTTTTTAAACATAGTATGCTTGCATGCAAGATATGGTGCCCATACTGTTACTTAAGGACAGTATTTCAGTACTTCTTACACCATAATTTCAGTTACAAGGCCATGAATTTCTTTTGGTGAAGCAAGAATTACCAAAGATGTGGCAAAGTGTTTTTTTTTACAGCCTTCTTCCTTGACTTCGTTGGTTTTTGGCTTAACAAACACTTTAGCAGTGAGGCGTTCTTCTGAATGGAGTCGGGAGAAATATGTTTGATAGTTGTAAACCACAGAGCCTGAACAATAACATCATTATCACTAGTGAAGAAGCTCTCTTTTAGCCAGAACATAGAAGCAAACATCTTTCAGAGACGTATCACCTTTTGGAGGTCTCTATTAAACTTTCAAAGTTTAGTTATTGTGCAATAACAAGATGTATTGCAGCTCTTTGATGACCAGGAATGGTTCTAATGAGCCTATGCAAGAAAGGCAATACTGAGAACAACTACAAGCATCTCATCTCTTCTTAAATTATTACATGGCTAATGAAACACCTGAGAAAAAAATAATCTACAAATGATTTCTCATCTGAAAAAAGTTTATATCCAGGCCATACTGGGGACAATTAGAAGGAATAAAAATGGATTTTGGACCGGAAATGTAAAAAAAACATGGTGTCCCGAGTCAACCTGTAAAGCCTGAAATAATAATTTAAACGTCAAAGGCGTTAGGTCAGATTTTTCAGCAGTTTTCAGACCACGTCATACGTTTTTACACATTAATGTCACATGCACTGACTCAAAAAGAAGATTCGGCTCAATCTTTAGGTCTCAAATGCAAAAATAACATTATATTGGTGAAGATATGATGATAATAGTAGATAATTCACTTGCATACTTGGAAGACATGTCCTTCACTAAGCTTTGACTGAGCTCTTTAAATACTCTTTAAACTAGTTAGCATGCATCAGATTCATGTGCCTGGAGAAGGGGTCTGAAGCACAACTGAGATTACAAAATGTTCTTCTGCAATCACAGACCTCACCACAGAGGTCTCCAAACTAAATGGAGCTTTAGGTAAAGAAAGTGTGAAAGTATATTGAGATATTCTAACGATCCAACGTTTTTCTTAATGTAGTAATGTACATAGCCAATGTAATGTAGTATAGACACATGCAATATTTTGCTTTTTGAGTTTAGCACTGGAACTGCCAGGCTAATGGTGCTAACAAACAATAGAGGTCAGTAGTCACCCTAATCATTGCCAGAAAAATATGGCAAAAAAATTTGCTTCAAATTATGTTGCTAAGCAATATGTAAATGATTAAAAAAGATTTGGTAAAATGGCATGGATCGACCTTAAATATTCAAGCTACTACACTAAAACTGCATTATTACATGTAGAATTAAGGCGCCCTGTCCTGTAGTCCTGTTTCAGTGACTGTACGTCATATATGTATACATTCTTAGGAAATGTTATTTTTGATAGAAATGGTCACATTTAGAATTACACAAACTTGTGGAGGTGCTGGCTGCACAGCTGAAACCAAATGATTTACCACAGAACAGGAGCATATTTTTTGATTTTTTTTTATTCATACACATAGAGTAAATATGATGAAGTACAATAAACAGATATACAGAGAGCTCTAAAGGCATATGTTTAAGTATTCTTCAGGGGTGGCCCCACACCTTCAAACGTGGTGGGGCAAAACATTGTTTAAAAAAAAAAAAGTGTTAGTTTTGACACTGCTTTAGTAGCTGCAGGCCAGATAGCAGTGTTTTGGCTGTTTTCGTACCCAGGTCATTTTCTAAAGACCCACCACAGTTTGATTTTATGATGCTTTATCTTTTTCCTTTGATTCGGATGGTGGACTACAAGGGCTAAAGTGGACTAAATTACACATGTGGGTGTTTTTTGTTTTTTTTTTGATCAGAAGTGCAAGTGCTCTGTTACTCTCACATTCACCACTATGACAAACAAACAGAAAATAGAGACTTATCATCTTTGTGAGTAACAAATTAAATTTAACCGATCGGGTCACTGACACTTGGCCAAAAACAATTCACGATCCATAATCAAACGCATATCACTATTTTATTGCTTTTCTCTCGTTATTGACAGCGCTTGCATCCCTCCAAAATGTCTGATCAGTGAACAAACGTGAGCGTTTGCAAAAAGTGAAATGTTAAAGTAGCAGGTTATGCAGACAGTACAGAGAAAATGTGCAGTGGAAAAAAACGTGCTCTGGTGCTGAATTCCCTCGTGAATTGGCGCGGTTCAGTTGTTTGGTGCTGCCTGAATTCGGGATGGAGTCGCATGTTATGCAGTTTAGTGAAAGAAGATATTTTTATTCGCACGTCCTGAACTCAAAAAGTAGCAGGGCATCACTTCAGTACTTTGAAAAGTGGTGGGGCAAATGCCTGCTCGCCACCGTGGTTCCGGTGGCTCTGGTATTCTTAGAAGCAACATGTAAAGTTATAAAAACTAAGATGTCAAAATTGTGACATTATGAAACAGATAAGAGCACTGCAAAGATTTGTAAGCAGGGGCAATAAAACAGTCTGACTAATCACATCTCATATTTTAGTCAGTACAATAATACATAATGTAACAATGCTTACAAAGGACGATAATCAGTTAATGGCACAAACAATTTTAAAGATGGAACTTTTTTCAATTTTTTCATGTTTGTGAAACTACCCAAAACATACTAACAAGCACACACATATACTAAAATGCCGATATAAACATGTCTCTGCCACCAGGGAACAATTGACTCAGGGAGCTAGGCCCAATCCCATTTCACCTCTCGCCCCTACCACTTAGCCCTTAGCCCTCTGTTTTGCGCATTCACGTCTAGGTGTGGGGTGTCTCAATTTTTGTTGAGATAGAGGGGTAGGGTGAAGTGTTAGGGCTACATGGCCCTCCAAACGGAGTGTTATGAGAAATAAAGAAAAACTGGCAAGATGGCTGCACAAGCGACCAAAGAAACCCACAAATGTAGTATTCTCTCCATCAAATAATTATGAAAACTGTCATTATCTTAGTTTAATGCTGTTTCGATGTATTATGGTCCTTTTCTTCATAGCAAGCATAAAAAATTGCTAACAGTATGTCTCAGTAGCTAGCTAGCTAAATTTCCCATTCCACCTCAAATGGTAGCACCACAACGTAACTGCTGCACCATTTAAGGTGGAACAAGAAAATTCAAACAAGAAGCTAGTGAGTAGCTGACCTCAGCTACATATCACCAAAGAATTAGGGGTGGACGCTAATAAATAATTATCCCATCCCACCTCTCTTTGAAAGCATATGATTCCCTAAATTTAATTTAGTTCAATTAAATTTTGCAGCGCAGCAGTGAGGTTACTGAACTTTACCCACTTCTGCTATCACTGCAGACTGGCAGGGTCGCCTACAGAGCAGAGCTAGTAGCCTGTTAATGAAGTCATGTTCTTCTTTATTTGTCCCAGTTCATAGGGGAAGATTTCAACCACTACTCCTTGTAACTCATTTCGAAGGGGCAAGGTGACACTCGAAAACAAGGGGTAGGGGTAAAAATAAGAAATGGAATTGGGCCCCACACTGAGCAGATGACAATATAGGGTCATATGACCATAACTCTTGTACTGCTGTCTGATGGACGTTTCAAAACTTAATTATATTAAATTAAATATTGACATGGTCATGTGACATTTTTTTTGTTTTTCACTCAGACATTCTCATACTACTACTTACTTTTACCAGCTAAATGTCTTCTTATAAGTTACTTTTCTCACAGATCCACCCTTCTTTGTAAGAGCATGGACGGTCATTCCAGGATTTACTGGAATCTGAACGGCCAAGAATCTCCGCACAGTCCTCATCATTATAGTCATTTGGTTCTCCACTCATCCAGTAGCTGAAACCCAGAGAATCAGAATCAGACTTTGATCAGTATTTACTTACCTCTGCATACAGACCTTAAGCTCAACTGTGCAAGTTTAATAACAGTTAAAACCATCATTTACCTCAGATTAATAGAACACAACAGGAAGTGTTATGTTAACATGCCTTTCTTGATCTACTGAAAGCTGTTAAATGCACAAGCAAAGATGTAAAATGATCCGGTAACAATTTAGGTAAAAGGTGTCTACATAACACATTCATAACATCTTACATAAATACTTCATAATATGTATATGAATGTTTAAATCTACATTTATAATGTATGCATGTTTTACATGATATTATTATGGACTACCATGTTATTTTATTGAGATACATTATCCAAATTAAAAATCCTCATTTTTTTATTCCAAAAAAAGAATGGTGCCTCATTTCTGGACAGCCAAAATAAAAATTACCTCACATGTTCAAGTCAAGTCAGGAGGCTTTAAGAACTTTTATTTTGGAAAATGTCTCTCAGTAAAATGACATAGTATTCAATGTTTATATAATGCAAAACATGTATGATTTATGAATGTTGATTTAAACCTTCATGAACATGTTATGAAGCAGTCATGTAAGATGTTATGAATGTGTTATGTAGACACCCTTCAAGTAAAGTGTTACAGATAATTCTATTGCTTGGAAACTGTTATAAGATTACTATGGCTTTGGACATGTTTGGCAGTTGACTAAGTTGCAAGAAACAAGTAAGTCTCAATTCTTCACACTCAAGTCCCGAGGCAAGTCCCAGGTCAAGATAGTTGAGTCTCGATTCAAGTAGTACAGGTAGTACAGAGTCTCAAGTCGAGTCCCAAGTCAATAGTCCTAATCTTTGAGTCCTAAACAAGTCAGTGTGCATTCTTCAGCTAATTTAAGGCCATAACACTGAATAAAGGTAACAGTACTACAGCCTTTTAATGGCAGCATATTAGAAGTGTATGGCTGTATAGTAATATTTTATTATACATTTTTTTTACCCTTTGAACAAAATACATTGTACACATATAACCATGACAGGCATACTGTATACACAAAGAGTAGTGCACTGCATATAAAAAGAATTTTAAAAATATTACTATTAGTTATGTGTGTGTATGTATGTGTGTGTGTGTGTGTGTGTGTGTGTGTGTGTGTGTGTATGTGTGTGTGTATATATATATATATATATATATATATATATATATACACACACACACCCATATTTAGACAATAGAAACCAAAACAACTGAGCTGAACAAAGTTCCAGCGTAACATTTATGGTGCAACGGCAAATTAAAATATGAAGCTGGCGAAAAAGAAGTCAACTTTAGCCTCGATGTTGAATGTTGTTATTGTTTTACCTGCAGAAGCTGTTAAAACTTGTCAAACAGAGAGAGCTGTGTTTCTTTTCTTTTGCTACCATGAGGAAAATGGTCAGTTCACCTGTTAAGTTTCTCCAGTAAGAACTGAAGTGCTGAGCTGGGCACATTGATGCTGTTGACGCTTCACTTGTTTCCAGCTTGTAGGGGGCTGAACTTGAGCTCTAACGCTTCACTTGTCATCCAAAATAATAATAAAAAAAATGCATAAGCTCAGTTCTTTCTTTCTTTCTTTCTTTCTTTCTTTCTTTCTTTCTTTCTTTCTACTTTAAGTCTTGTCTTTCTGAGTCATTACATTAAAGTCCGAGTCACTGGTGTTGAAGTCAAAGTCGAGTCCCAAGTCTTTCTCGATTTTCTAGAGTTGAGTCTAGAGTCATCAAATTTGTGACTCGAGTTGGACTTGAGTGCAAGTCACATGACTCGAGTCCAAACCTCTGGTTCAAAGTATGCATTTTGTGAGACAAAATAGGGACAAAAAATTAGTTCATTGCAGTTTCTTACCTAATGGTCAGTCCTGAACCGTCTACCCATTCCCAGACTCCCTCTGTGGTACTGTCAGTGAGCCCAAGCCAAGCCTGACCCGTGCCCAGCTTATTAGCGATGAATTCCTGTCATTATGATGGCACAATTTGAAAAGGAACAGTTGTTTGCTTGCTCTCTTATCCTCTCCCCCTCCCCCTCACCTGTTCCTCTTTGCTGTTTATGATCAGAAGGTCTGCTCCTCTCTCTATGCAGTCCTGTCTGCTGTCACTCCAGCTCTTCCCAGTAAAGAAGTAGTACACACTAGTGCTGAAAAACCATTCCTGTTGCATTGCTCTGGCTACACATTGAATAAACAGAGGACAGATAAGTAAATTTTCTCAGTTTACTGGGGTTCAGAATTACAGTATTTGTAATATTTATTGGGTCTGAATGACTTTTGAAAGCCTGTGTCTGATCCTGAAGCCCTAATGGAAGTTAATGTGCAGTTAAAGATGGGGTCATCGATTTTTAAGTTTGGAACATTCTGTGAAATTCTCTTTGCATTCTGGCTGCTGTCAATTTTAAATGTGCAGTGACACTACAGCAATCAGAAAAACTGCTGTTTTCCTGACAAAATGTACTAATTTAAAAATGTAGTTAGTTATTTTCTAAATAAACTGTGGCTGCTAAAAAAGATTTGATACTTTGTAGACAGCAGGAAATAAAACAAGAATCACCTGATGAATGTATAATTGATCCTAATCTTATATAACTGGCAACCTAACTGCACATAGGCACATACAATGTGAGAAAGAGCAGAAGAGTGTTTAGTGGCACGTCAGTGAGTGCGTTTACATGCACTCCGATAACTGCAGATAATCAGATTATATCAGTAATCCGATTAACGCGTTTATGTGCACTTGAGTAACCAGATAGTGGGGAAACTCATGAGTCAGGCAATAATCATATTTCTGCTTTGGAACTGACTAATGAACTCTCAGAAGATTTGCTGCTTTTTTATTTTTGGTACAGCCATCTGTTTTCACACATGCACAGACTGAGAAATCAGAAAGAAATCAGAGTAAGAGTATACATGCACTGAGAAATCTGATTACTGAGCTAAAATCCAGCTCTCTTCATTGGATTTCTTAATCGGATTTTAGGCCTTAGTCTAATCTAAAAAGTGTGCTGTTTACATGACCATTTGAAATTTCAGATAACTGTAGAAATCTGATTATGATCGGATTATTGAGTGCATGTAAACGCACTCACTGGCAGCCAGGTTAAAGGTGCATTTGTCGAGATTCAAGATACTTAACCTCTACCATTTAAGTAGACTACAACAACACTGAAATTTCTTTTTACTTTTTTTCGATCTGGCTCCTGTTCCTGCCTATCAACTCAAAGCACACTTTTAAGATTGCTAGCATTTCAAAGGATTGTCTCGACTATTTAGCGCTGAGGTAGGTGGTTTATGAAGAGTTCCCTTACCTTACGATTTAGATAAAAATGCTAAAAATATGCCAATATGCAAACCTTGCTTGAGAGGAGAAAAAATTATGATATCTACATCTTAATAGAGCACAATGAGCATGGGCTTTTTTTCATAGCTAAAACAACAATTCCACAAGCTGTTAACAACAGTGAACACCTATAGGGTTCTTCATCTCAGGTTGGTTGAGTTTCCTTTTAGGAACCTATAAGCATCAACAGAGCCCTTTAATTCTGCTCTCCCCCCAGCAAAGTATTGAGTTATTCCACTCAGCAAATGCTGCTGACCTACCGTTACATTTCACCATAGCAAGTATCAAACTCCCGTGTCTCTTTTGTCTGAGATCCATGACTGTGTTAGCACATATGACGATGCCCACTAGGTAATTGCTTGATAGTGAAGTTACAATCTTATGAATACCTGGCATCCATACTGATTTTGAAGCTCTCAGAATAGTCAATAGTATCATTACTGTCCAGTTATTCCTTTTAATGAGCTCCCACAAGTTTTTAAGCAAACTGCCATGACCTGGGTTAGATAATTAGCATTGCATTGTTACTTGCATGGTGCTGTAGTTGATGTAGTTGACTAGCATTGCATAAATCTCTGAGAGTGGTTTATCTTAAGCATTACTTTACCTGGATCTTAGAGTGATAAAGGTTTATCTACTTGATTCATTGGATGAAGTTGGCCATTCAAACAGTTCAAGGATTTATCCATATTTCACATAGCTGTCCTGGAGGAATGTTGCTAATTCTGTGTCACAGTGTGTTGAAATCTTGTTGTATGATAATCATTAATTTTTTTGCTCCACTAAAACAGCCTGTATTTGAATCTGCCATTAACTGTCATTGATGTCCGGCTTCAATAGGGTTCTATGCAGTAGGGTTCTGGCTCTCACAAACATATCGCTGCTGTCACAACAAAACCTCATATCTCCATTTTTGTCAATTTTGATATAATTTAAAAGCGTCTGTTGCCCTTTACATTGTTTGTAAATTTCCTGATAAATGGACTAACAGAAATGTCCCAAAATGACTTAGAGAAAACTCTGGTTCCATTGACTTACATTAAAAAGAAAGTATGTTTTTTCCTCCTCCTGTAAAGTTAACATTTTGGAGATCCAATTTTTTGTTCCCGACAACAGCAATATTCACACAGACTATAGTGCCTTTCAGACTTAAGTAGCTTAATAAAGCTTAAGTAATCAAACAGCACCAGATCGTATAGAGTTGGAATGTCACACTTTGTAACTGCTAAAAATGCTGAATTGCTGTATGAGTTACAAACAATAAAAATTTTGTAGGAAGCCATGCTTCCAGTGTAGTCTTAAAGCAACTGGTTCGGTTCACCCATAGTTTCTGCTCTTATGTACACACTCTTCCCTGAAATTAAACATTTGTCATTGGATTAGTATGCAAGTTTCAGATTTTCTTTTTATTTTTTATTTTTGCTCTCCTCCTACTCTACACCCCACTATTTTCAGCTAACTCCACCGCTGGCTCAACTTTGACAAATGCTCAAAAATGGGAGGGGCACTGCAGTGATGTACGGGTTTGGAGGTGGGGCTGTGAGGGAAACCGGGTGGGCTGGGCTGCTTTTAAAGTATGGAGAGTGACAGAATCAACAACACTTTTGCAACTGAGAGGTCTTACAAGGCTGATGATTTTTCTGTACTACTATTCCCATCTTTGACGAGGGAAGGTGTTTCTGATCAGGCAGTGCGTCTTTAGCCTTAACAGTATGATCCACTGACTCAAACTGCCAAAGAGTTAGCATAGTGCCAGAAAATGATTAACAGCGAGCGGCAGAGGCACCAAACAGTGGAACATTCCATAAAACCGTGACAGCCAGCTTCTAATTATCTGTTTATCAGGTCCATATTCATTATAACCTGAACTCTGATTTCTTAGATGCACTGAATTCCGAATGTATAAAGTGGACTTCTTTGAACATTTTTTAAGTTTTATTCAGTTTGACATCAAGGTTGCAGACTGCATCACCTGTCAGCCAGGGTTTGCTGCAGTGGCCCTAAATCCTTACGTTCTGCAAGTTGTTCACCGGTGTTAAATCTAATTCAATTCCCCCTCAAATTCACGTTCCCCTTCATAAATCGATCCTCGGGCGTGCACTCACTGAACAGAAATCAACAGCACTGGAACTACAGAAAGCAGGAAAAAAGTTTGAGAAAGACTTTACGGACGAAAGGTTGACAGAGTTGGTAACAATGGCCATTTAACGTTAATCTTTCCTGAATCATTTCGCTTTCATTTACATTTACATTTACATCATTTAGCAGACGCTCTTATCCAGAGCGACTTACAAAAAGTGCTTTGTCTATCCAGAGAAAGAATCTTTGCTAGCTACCAATAGGTTAGAGAGAAAGACAGTCCTAAACTTAGATACTGCTAGAATCAGAAGGTCATTGACACCTAGTGAAAAGGGACAGAGTTAAACACAGAACAGTGCAATACAATACAATACATAAGTGCTGTACAATACATTACAATCAATACTTGCAACAATGCTTTCCTTGGTTCCAGTGTTGTTTGCCATTGATTTCTGTTCAGTGAGTCGCGCGCCCGAGATTTTGAGTTGTGAAGGGAAATGTGAATTGGATGCAACACTGGCCGCTTTATGGAGACTCCCAAGAATCCTCACTTAATCGGTCAAGCATCTTTATTACAAATTAAGCTCAGATTAATTGAATTTTTACAGGTGGAACAGACATCTGGCATATCACAGCCTTGTGAGGTGGTGCTGGGGGTATTTACCTCAGCATGTGAGTGTAGTTATCTCCTCACTCTAGGCTTCTTTGCTTTTATATTTATGAGCGCAGCACGAGTAAGGCATCATCAGGGGCGGTGAAGTTGTTTGACTGATTTGTATACTGTGATGTATCTTCGTACTTCAGTACAAAGACACATCATCCACACCTATAGCAGAGGTGAACCAGAGGGGCGCTGCAGAGGCAGAACTGACCACGATAAAAAATTATATTTTTACAGTCTGGAAAGATGTATTCACATTTAAAGCAAGGTTGGTATATTTTATTATTACAGAGCAGTGCATTTCAGCTGTTTTTTTTGTCATTTTTCAGTTTTTGACATAATTTGAAAATGCCTGCTGCCCTTTATACTATGTGTAAATTTCATGATGAATGGACTAAAAGAAGCGGCCCAAAATTACTTGGAAAAAATTCTGGTTCCATTGACTTGCATTAAAAGTAAAGCCTGTTTTTTTTGCTTCTCCTGTAAAGTTACCATTTTGAAGATACAAGGTTTTATTGTGACAGCAGCGATATGCAGCCTGACTGCGTGCTTATGGGGTGTGACTTTGAGAAAATGCTGAAGGGAATGGGCTGTATTTGTTTGGCTGCTGAGTTTTAAAATCTGTTTGCTTTGGCTAACGTTCCTCCTCAAAATTGATGACACCTCCTTTAAGAATTCTGAAAAATGAAAAAAAGTTTCTCTGAATTACAATGTAGCTATATGCTAAAACTGTTTTTCCTTAGTACTGTTCCACAGTATAATTTACTCAACTATTTAAACATCTGTCTTAACAACATGGTTCAGGTTGACTGAATAACACCAAGACAAACATCTTAAAACCTAGGAATGATCTACTTACTCCATTTAGAGAAGTTCTGGAGACGCTCTCTTTCGTTCTGAAGCTGATGTGCCACGGTGGTGTAATTGGTCTTTAACTGATCATTTTCATTTGTTAGTTCTACAAATCTGGTCTGTAACTGGTCTCTCTCGATAGTCAAGTTGGCATAACTGTTCTGTAGCTGGTCTCTCTCGATAGTCAGGTTGGTGTAACTGCTCTGTAACTGGTCTCTCTCTAAAGTCAGGTTGGTGTAGCTG